GTTCAAGGCTATTGTCTGAATCAAGAATTATGTTATTCAATTCTCTTAATTGAATTAGAAACTATAGTTTCGAACTCAAGTATGAAGTACTGAATCTAAACTATTTGCCGAATAGAATAGATTGGTTTAGCAAAAAAACAGTTAAAAGAATGTCTTTTAAAAGAATGTCTTGGAATTGTAAAATCACATTAAAGGGTTATTTGATGTTGCATAGGTATTACAATCCTAACATTGCACTTGAATTTGTATAATTATGCAGTTTTTTGCTAAGCTAATTTTTATTAGCATGCAGATCCTATTGAACAATTTTTTTAAAAAAAATTATAAATTAATAAATAAAATGTAATCAAGTAGAATATGTGAATAGTGTAAACTTCAAAATGTTCATTTTAAAAAGTTGAGGATAGTATTCTATAAAAGAGTTGTTGAAGACTGACAGTGACGATGTGAATAAGGTGGAGAAGTTATCAGTCAGGTAGCATATCATATTCTTCAAGAATTTGAGGGGGGGGAGGGGTATAGGTGCAGAAACGATAAATAAAAAGACTGCCCCAGAAGTCAGAAGGCAACTGGCATTAGGGGTGGGAAAAACCGAACCGAAACCCGGAAACCGACCCTGACCCAGCCCGAATTATGATATCGGTCCGGATTTTTTCTTTTTGACCGGCCCGAATAAAAAAACCCCGACCAAACCCGAAATTTCGGGTTATTTAACGGACCCTAAAATCTATTACCCGGCCCGGACCGATAAAAACCCGAAAATAATTAACTTTAATATAAAATCAATATAATATACTAATGTAATTTATAAATTAATTCCTAATATATGATTATAATCATGGTGGACGAATAAAAATGACTTAATAACTATTAGTTACTACAAATATATTCAATTTATTTGCCGTAATGACCATGAAAACATATTTATAGTAACTCCAGTCACATTTTTATCCATAAATTTTATTTCGTGACATTTTTAGAAAACCTATATTATTTATTTTTATGCATCTTAAACGAAATATCATGATGATTGTCTTCTTTGGATTTGAATTATTGGTGATTTTGGAGACTAATATTTGTGTTATTATTTGCGGTTTGTACTTTTGATTAATTTTATTTGAAAATAAATTTTAAAATATAAAAGAAAAATGAGATGATTTCACATTCGGGCTTTAACCGACCCAACCCGAACCCAGACCGAACCCGGGCTACAAAAAAACCGACTCGGACCGAATATAGTGGGCTTTTTTCCGGTCCCTAATTTTCAAAACCCGAAACCTTACGGGTAATTTCCGGGTTTAACAAAAACCCGACCGACCGGGTAATTTATATTCGGTGCCAAAGCTTAAATCGAAATAAATTTTTGAGCATGCAAATGTGTATGTCTAGACACACACACATGTATATACATATACATACATAACCTGTTAAATCTTTTTACCACTTGAGACACATTCTTGATAGGTAGAGAAAACTTTCAAACTATCATAAAAAGGTCAATTAAGTCCTTCTACAGGAGGTTCTGTTCGGCTGTCGCGATTTGGGGCAGTTCCCGGTGGAATTGTTTGATGAAATATTTTGAGCATCTTATTCACCAAGTCTAGTTTACTCATACCAAATTTCAGCTAAAAATTCAATTGGGAACACATTCAAATTAATTCTTAAAGATAACTGCGCATTTTTGCGTTCTCGAATTAATTGGAATGTGCTCCCAATTAAATTTTAGCTGAAATTTGGTATGAGTAAACTAGACTTAATGAATAAGATGCTCAAAAAATTTCATCAAAAAAATTCCACTAAGAACCGTCCCAAATCGCGACGACCGGACAGAGTCTCCTATAGAAGGACTTAATTGACTTTTTTATGAAAGTTCGAGTACCTATTTGACAGTTTTCCCTTCTTGATAGGACAAGTAAACAAATAACCTTAATTAATTGGTCATTTGTCAGAATACTAGATAAGAAACATTCATTTTTAATTTTATAAATAAAATAAGAACTATACAAATTAAAACTAAATACTCCGTATTTTATAAATATTGTAAACTGAAATTGAATACATACATTTAATTTGTATCTATTAGTTAAAACTTACAATTACAACTAATGTATAATCAACACCAACACAATCAAATGGATGGTAGGTACGGTACCCCATTTTTTAGAAAGGTACCGAAGTTGTCACCTACTATAATTACTAATTTCAAGATTGACACGTTATCATTGGGAGATGGAGATAATAATTTGTAATCTAAAAAGATAATTAGATTTGAAAATCTAATTAAATATTTGCACACCATAACTGAAAGAGAACAATGTTAATGACATATTATCAAACTTATTAAGAGCGGACAGTGTAGGCACTGCAGGAGGTGTTATCATGGGCTGGAAGGATGATGTAGAAGTCACCCCGGTTAGGATTGGGCAGAACTATGTTGATTGTCGCATGGTATTGAAACCGAACGATGTGGCGTGGCGTCTCACTGGATTCTATGGTTTCCCCGAAACCAACAGGAAGAGGGAATCGTGGGCTTTGATGGAAGATTTGGCTGATGATGTTCGTGGTCCGTGGATGATGATGGGAGATTTCAATGACATTCTTCACGAATCAGAGAAAAAGGGATGCGTATCCCATTCTCCATGGCGTTTACGAGGCTTTAGGGGGGCGGTCAACAGTTGTGGTCTGCGTGATTTCTCTTTCTCCGGTTACCAGTGGACCTGGGATAGGGGAAAAAACACGAACTATTGGGTGGAGGTAAAACTTGACAGATTTGTGGTCAACAACGATTGGTGGGATATTTTTTTGGGGGCTCAGGCCAAATCGGTGGAGGCCCCGGCCAGTGACCACATGGCGCTTGTTATGGAAACAAAGAGCTCTTCTAAGAGCAGGAGGACTCGACGTTTCAAATTCGAGAACAATTGGGTTAAGGAAGAAGATTGTCGTATGATTGTTACCACGAGTTGGGGTGCGGCCACCCATTTGCACATAAATGAACACATCTCTTTCTGTGGAGCGGAGCTTTTGCGTTGGGATAGAGGAAAAAAGAGAGGTTTCCGGCAGCAGATTCTAGCCTGCAAAAGAAGGCTTGCGTGGTTGAGAGACAAAGAAGATAGAGCTAGTGGGGACGAATTTTTGAGAGTTCGTTCGGTCCTTCAGACTCTCCTTGAAAAGGAGAATGTGTTTTGGAAGCAGCGGGTCAAGGAGTTTTGGCTAAAAGAGGGGGACATAAATTCCCGATTCTTTCATAACGCTGTTAAGCAGAGGAGGAGGAGAAATACTATGGCAGGCTTGCGCCGAAATGATGGCGACTGGATAACAAATCAAGGGGATATGAGCATGACTATTCATAACTATTTCACTGAGCTTTTCAGTTATGACGACTCGGGTCGGCCGAAACATATTAAGGGGGAGTTTTGTCAGGTCACGGCCGAACAGAACTCTGCTCTTCTGAAGCCTATCTGTCCAGAAGAAGTTAAAGAGACTATTTTTGACATGCACCCAGACAAAGCGCCGGGTTCTGACGGCATGAACCCTTCCTTTTTCATGCCTATTGGGACGTTGTTGGCCCGGATATCTTAGCCCTGTGCAGGGAGATGTTTGTGTCAGGTACTTTAGCCAATCATATAAATTCTACTAATATTGTGCTAATTCCTAAGAAGGATAAACCTGTTTGTATGGGGGATTGGCGGCCGATTGCTTTCTGTAATGTGGTTTATAAAATCTTTGCTAAAGTGCTTGCTAACAGATTGAAAGTCATCTTGCATGGACTTGTGGGAGAAAGTCAAAGTGCTTTTATCCTAGGTCGGTCTATTACAGATAACATTATTGTTGCTTTTGAGACACAACATTACCTTATGAGGAAAACGGAGGGGAAGGAGGGTTATGTGGCCCTTAAACTTGATATGAGTAAAGCCTATGACAGGGTTGATTGGAAGTATCTAGAAGGGGTGATGAAAAAAATGGGTTTTGCGACAAAATGGATCCAGGTTGTAATGGAGTGTGTCAAAACTGTGAACTATTTCATTCAGTTTGATAATGATTTCCTGGGTCCCATTACTCCGGGGCGTGGTTTGAGACAGGGAGACCCGTTATCCCCTTATCTTTTTATCCTGGTGGCGGAGGGCTTTAGTGCTCTTTTGCGAAACGCAGAGCACGTAGGGGCAATACACGGGGTGGCGGTGTGTCGTGGGGCACCTAGAGTCTCTCACTTTTTTTTGCTGATGGTAGTTTCCTGTTTTTTGGCGATATCTCTTTGGTTAGTTGGGTACAAAATCTGTTGACCAGACCGGATAAGGAGCTGCAGTGTAAAGTTGCCATGCTACTATGGGGAATTTGGAAGCGGCGGAATTCTTTGGTATGGAGTGATGAATGGCAGCAACCAACGGCTTTAATAAATTGTTGCGCAAGCGTGCTGCGAGCGTGGAGAGTCGCGTAGCAGTCCTCGACAATTACGAGCGGCACTACAAGTTCGGGAGATGCAGGCTGGACAAGGCCGAGGATGGGTAGGATTAAGGTTAATACTGATGCGGCTCTGGATATGGTCAGAGGGGTTCGTGCTTGGATCTGGGTAGCAAGAGATGAGGCGGGTGAGTTTGTGAAGGCAGGGGGGAGGCTCTTGCGAGGCTGGATGGAAGCCAGAGGAAGCCGAGGCTTTTGCTTTGCTAGAAGCAGTTAGAGCGGCTAAGAGGGAAAATTGGGAGTTCGTGGACTTCGAAACTGATGCTCAGACGGTTGTTCGAAGCTTGAGGAAAGGGGGAGGGATGACGTACAAGGATCTCCTTGTTGATGATATTCGTTTTCTATTACAGGAAAAGAGTTCTTATGATATCTCTTATTGTAGACGGTCTGCGAATCAGGTGGCCCACACTTTGGCGAGAGCACATGTCGGTATCTCAGATCATAGAGTGAGTTATGATTTTGCTCCGGATTGTATTGCTAGCCCGATGGCTAATGATTTACTATTAATATAAGTGATTGGTTTATTTTATAAAAAAATACTCCGTATTAAAAGAGGTAAAAAGCGCCTAAAAGCGACAAAGCGCAGGCGAGCGCCAAACCTGCGCAGAAGCGGCTCGCCATGAGAAAGCAAAGCTTTTTCGGCGCTTTTTCTTAAGCTCGCTTAATGAAAAATGATCGCTTTTAAGAGGTTCTCAGTTCTCACAAAAAGCGGTCAATTGACCAGTCAACTAAAAAAAATGGTCTTCTCGTCTCAGCGCTACAAGTTAGGGTTATCACGTTAGAGTTGTTCGACTCTTTCCCACTTCAGACATAGCCGCTGCCGAAGAAATCGCAGCCTTGAAGAGGAGTTCTCCCAGGTGATCGTTGTTTCCAAGTTGTAACTGGCAGGCGAAGAGGAGTTCTCCCAGACTTTCTCCTAGGTGCTGTGCAGGTTCTATATCATCATCGTTGGTCACTTTTACAGTTTACTCCGTGATTTTAGTTGGAGCCCAGACTTCCGCAGCTCACTTTACTCTGTTTCTGTCTTGCTCTGTTTGTATAGTAAGCTTCAATGAGGAGATACAATATATTTTTGGCAAACTAAAACAGCCTATTTTTTTTTGGCAAACTTATACAGCCTATGCTTTTTTGGTAAACTAAAACAGCCTATATGATACTCTTACTCTGTTTGTCTCTATAATAAGCTTCTAAAATATAGGAAAAATGGAAACTAATAATCCAACCTTTTAGCGATGTTCTTACCATAGTCTCACCTTTTCGTTATTCATGAATAATCCAACTTTTGCACCTCATCTTCATTCACTGTTCCCTGACCGGTTGATGACCTGCTATTCCAAATTATTTTCTTATCTTTGCAAATCATTAAACCATAAATCTCACCTTTCACAAAGATAATATTTTGCAAAGATAAAAAAAATAACTTGGAATAGCAGGTAATTAACCGGTCAGGGACCAGCGAATGAAGATGGAGTGCAAAGGTTGGATTATTCTTGAATAACGAAAAGGTGAGACTATTGTAAGAAGATCGCTAAAAGGTTGGATTATTAGTTTCCATTTTCCCTATTATATATACAATATGAATGAAAGAAATCATTATATTATCATTTTCTTGGTAATTATTATAGGTTTAAACAGCTAGATTATATATTATAATGAAAGCATAGATAGCTAATGTAGTAAATTATTTATAGAAAGATCATTTTGTCTTCACATTAGTAATTAGTTGCTCAAATGTATTCCAAGCTAACTTAAATTCCAGTTTATTCAAATTAAATTCCAGTTTTTTCATTTTTGGTTTATTGATTATTAATTTTTAGTTTATTCCAGTTTATTCCTTTCACTTTATTGATTAATTAATTTTTTGTTTATTCCAATTTATGCCTTTCAGTTGATTGATTAATTAATTTTTTAATTCATTCCAGTTTATTCCTTTAATTTTATTTATTAAATAATTTTTTAACTAATTTTCAGTTTATTCCACTAAGTAATAAGGTCTCCATTGCTCTTTGTACACTTGCTTGATGACTTGATTAAATATTTTTAAAACATGTATATGATGTAGAATTGTAGACAAAAATGTCTGGACAACAATTTAAAAGTCAAGATCCTGCATGGGAGCAAGATCCTGCATTGTAGACAAACATGTATATTATATTTTCTTTGATTTTTTTAAGCATTGCTTTTTGTGAGAAAGCTATGCTTCAGCTCGGGGTCATCGCTTTTCGCTTTAAAAAAGTTTGCATATTATTTGAGAGAATATTTTAAAAAGGTTGTGGTTTCATGGTTTGTAACTTTGTCATCATTTAATAGTGTACTAGCTTGATGTATTTAGAACGTAATAAAACTTGCAAAGTTATTGTATAGCATCTCTAACTTTGGGCCGGTACAAAGATTTTTTTGGTCTTTTTTACACTGGATTTTTAAGACATTTTTGAAATTTGTGGTAGGCTGGGGCCTAGGTTGGCCACTAGCTCTGCCAGTGTCTCCAACCAATTTATTCTAATTATTTTCGTTTTCTACCATTCTTAGATTACTTCTCTTTAGTTATAGGGCAAACACAATGTCTCCAAAATATATTAAGCAAAGTAAAATAGATGTTAAGGGCTGTAAACATATGCAATTATGCATGTATAGCTGCAAATTTTGGGCCCCAGAATTTGTTAATTCTTTGGGCCCCATAATTTGTTAATTCTATGGCCCCATAATTTGTTAGTTCTATGGGCCCCTGTGTGCATGATGACCTCATTGCCCTCACCGTAAGCACAGAAATATGTTGTATATCAACATATCAACTTCTAGGAATTAAAAAAAACGTATTTGAATTCTCTTTCTATTTCTAACAACATTTTCTTACTTGTTAGTATGGTGAAATTGGAGAACATGGCTTTGCACATGAGAGTACTCTCATTGTTGGTGCGTTCGGTAGCATTGGTGATATGCATTTCCAATTCACTAGATGTGTATGTCAATAGGCATCCCTTTGAAAAGTTAGAGATGTGGCTTCATAGTTTGCAAATCATTCTATCCTTTCATGTCATTGCCTTCCAGTCCAGACACTTAATGAAGGCTTCTTCTACTTATGAATGTTTCGCTATCATTACATCTGCTGCTGTCATCCATCAAGGTTTAAACAAAGCTTTTTGGGAAGAGTTGGAGAAGACTCATTTTTCTTTGTCTGGTTTTGCTGTGAGAGTGCATTTAGTTTGCTTAGCTAAAATTATTGGTGAATTATTCACATTGGAGAGCAGTCTCAATGTGGAGAAGGGTCTCAATGTGGAGAAGGGTGTCGATGTTAAGAAGGTTCAATAGTTGGAAAAAGTATTGGCAAGGAAGTTCTGCGTGATTCACAAGTGATTGCTCATGTAATTTCTATATATCATAAACTGACAATATGTGTAATTTTATTTGGTGGTGTGGACCGCTTCACTTGTTGATGTGATTTAAGGTTTGACAATATATGTAATTTTATTTGGTGGTGTTACATACGTATTGTTCAGCTCTTAACAGTGTCAACATCTTGCCAATTCTTTTGGGATGATTAGCAAGAGGATGATTTTTCTATGGTTTAACACACTTCTTCAGAGGGGATTACATTTTCTGCAGTTACTAATTGAATAAGTACACGTGAAAAGCTTGATTTATAAAAAAGAACAGTTAAACTAATTATCTGAAGATAATGGCTTCATAGTACAACAATACATAGAACTGATGTTTAGAAACTGCCATCAACAAGTTGTACGGGCATGCTCTCCTAAGGAGTATACATATCATTCCTTCATTACAATACATAACATCATACGAAGAAGTCTCTAAACCAGAATCTACTTGCTCAAGTAAAATGACACATCTATTCAGTTGTATGTGTTTTCTATATGAATTTCAGGAGTTTTTTCTCAAAGGAGGGTGGTCTCCAATCTTATTTTCCCAAAGTAGGGTACTTTTAAACATATTTACCAAATGAGGGTAGTTTTTTCCTTGTCATCCAATTTCTGCCACATCACCGTCATCAGTCATATGGGTATTCTTTTAAAATATAAAAAAATACATAGCCCCCGGGAATTGAACTCACGACCAAAATGATGGATTTACATCTTGGAACCCACCAAGCTACATTGACTTGTTAGCACAATCACACCTTTACAAGTATTTAACATATATTTATGAAACATATTTTGATACAATGCATAAGAGATTTCACTGGCAACTTCACCAAGATCTCAATTAGGAGCTCCCTCTGTAACTCGCAGTAGTCCATTCCCTGATGCTGATCAGTTCGTCTTTCCGATCTTTAAGTTCGAGATATTTATAAATGCGAGCTGCCTAGTAGATTGGGCCCGCAAATCACTTGCCGACCACATGACATGATATGCTAGGAATAAAGGAGACGGGAAACCTTGAATTGAATATGTGTTCGTTCCTTTAGCCCTGGCTTTTTGCTTTCGCACCAAATAGAAAAATCAGACGTGGGATGGAGCTCCTTTCGTCTCTAGCGGTCTAGCCCTGCCTTTTAACGTAAGAGCAAAAACCAGATGTTAGATGGAACTCTCTTCTGTTAAGGCTGGAGCCGGAGATTGGGGAAGGGCTTGCTGTGCAATTATCGTATTTTTAATTAAAATATGAGGTGGTTTCGATTTCCAATAATGCCAATTGTAGAATGCACGTAAATATATAATCTATGCACCCTAATACCATCCAACCCTAATTACGGTCTTTAAAATATGAATATAATGCTCAATTTCAAGTGTTGTATTAACGGAGAGATTACAGGCGCATGTGAACAATTACAATTCAATAGATCCATTAAGGTCTTTGGAGGAACTCGAGTATATGTCACATTAACTTCAGTCAGATCATATAGCATTTTAATTTAACATTTACCAACTATTAATGACATCACAATTGTGACCTTTAGCTACCAGATTCAGCAGAAATACCCGTAAGAGACAATGATATCCAGATGTCTCACAATATATAACAAGAGAATGTAACTGATAGGGTAGTGATTCTTTTGAGAAATGGAAGTCTTTAGGCCATATACTCTATCACTTGTGATAGTTGATTCACGAATTTTGAGCCAAACACTGAGAATTAATGTGATTGAGATGCATATAAAAGCTTTTTGGTCACCAAATGTATGAATTGAACAAGGGAGATGATAAGTTTTATTCCAATTTGACTCTTTCACGAGTCATGTTTTCCCCTTCAAATCTTTTTTGTGAGACTATACACCACAGTCAACAAGAATCCTGATGCTACTAAAACAATAAGATACAGGAGACAACTTAAGTGACTATAAGTTACAAGCATTAAAAGTGAAATTGTAGCTATATTAAGCAAAGCACTTCACAGCCCCTTTTCTTGTAAAGTTGGTGGCTGCTATTCAATACACGTAGCAAGGATCGTGATACACGGAAAATATCATAGTATTGAAAAGGAACGGTCAAACAAACAAATGAAGCAGTCTAAAATTGTATTCAAATCAAGGATCATTCCATGCTAAAAGAACAATAAGTTGTAAAAAGTACCTATATCAAGCAAAAGAATATTGACTCTTTGCAAGCAACAAAGTATTGATTAGATTCGAACCTGTTAATTTTAATTTCCTCAAGTCCTTATGTCTTCTTCATAACAATTATAAAGAAGGCGGAAAGACATCAAGATATCAACCATTATAAACATCTATGTATATATTAGTCATAACTTTCCCCATTATAGCAAAAACACTTGAGAAGCATTAAAGAGATAATAAATGTATTTTTATATGTATGTTAAACTATTATGATCAGAAACTAAAACATTTCCAATAAAGCAATCAAATTTAATTTGAACGAGCAAGTTTTTCTATTTCTTTGGTAAAAAGTGATTTCACTTAAACTATTTTTCACTTTAGAGAACATGAACACACTGTTTTTACTTGCCATCATCCAACGTACCTCTCATTGTTAGACAAGGCAACGTACCTCTCATTGTTAGATAAGGTTTCTCACTGCATATTTTCTAAAAATAAGAATTAATTGAATCCTTAATAATATCCTGAACTTCAAAGACAAAAGGATTTTTTGTTGTCTTTGACAGTAGCATGGATGAATTTTGTTTCTTATCCTTGATAGGAGACATAGTAGATGGCAAGTGAAAAAAGTCTTACCTGAAGAACTCAAGCAGTAGTAAAAGATATTGGCTCTGTCCTTCCGAATTCAACGTGTTGACCGTGTTGCTCCTCAATTGACCTCGTTGACTATCTAGCTCCGGGAATTGACCTGCAAAATAATCACTAAAAAGAACTAAAAGTGTATTAGTGGCTCGAGACGCGTCAGACGCTGTCCTAAGGAATTATTTCCGGCGTACGGAAATTTCCCCCAAGATATAACGAGCCCTTCGGTTATAAAACCGGTACCAGAACTAACGAGAAGAAATTACTATATGAACCCAACAATAAAAAAGTATTTTGTTGAATAACTTGTATATAGTTTAGCACTTTATAAATTATATATACATTATATTATATATAATAATACGTGTATGTTTGTGGGATAATCATGATGCTAATTCTTCCCTTGAAGCAGTACACATGCAACTTGTTCCTCTCCCAAATTTACGTTTGTAGCAGCATCCATATAATCCCATAGTATCCCCACTAAAAATAATACTTAAACAAATGTGCATGTAGCATTTTTCAACAAAATTATTGAAGCAGTACACATGCAACTTGTTCCTCTCCCAAATTTACGTTTGTAGCAGTATCCATATAATCCCATAGTATCCCCACTAAAAATAATACTTAAACAAATGTGCATGTAGCATTTTTCAACAAAATTAAAGTTCTAGGAGAAACTCCTTAACCCGTCTTGAATTCTTGACCGCAAGAGAGCTCAAATATAAGCAAGGCCATAAGATTGGCTTTAAGCAAAATAATGACTATAAATTAAATTAATGGCAATTATTAAGAAAACGTTATCACCATTAAAGCAATATGTAACGTTAAAAGCATTCATAATTTGAATGTGAACATTAATTTTGTAACGGTTTAAATTATGTGTAGTAGATAAAATAGTCTTTTGAGTCATGATAAAATTTCCACAAAACAAGTAATATTCATTTAAAATATCAAAAGTTCCAACAATCCCCCACATATTTTAAATGAATAGTTTTAAGTATTTAAATGGCAATTCCTTATTGGGTTCATATATGGGGTGAAGTTTTTCAATCTGGTGTCCGTAGACTTGAACCAGACCTAGACGCCTAAGTCTTTAAATATCGAGTTTATTGGTGAAACGTATAGTTTCTATGAACCAATAATCTACTTTGGTAAGTCAGTGTCTTAGGGGATCATTTTTCACCCCCACCTTTCTCGTCGTTAACGCCGTTGTGCGCCTCTAGACCGTGCGAGTGCTTGGTTTTCTTGAGTGCTCTAGAAGCGTTGTCAATGCTTCATGGAGGCGGCCCCACCTCTCACTCATATAGGTGACTTCATCAAGTGTGTCCTGCACTTAACACACCACCCATAAGGGCTATGACAATCATTAAGAGCTTTAACTCAACCTCACAAAGAAGTGCAGTCTAGCCTTACACACCGTAGAAATGGACACTTTACAAGGCTAGCAGAACAAATAGAAGACTTGTTATTACCCATTTGAACTTGCTTCATGGGATCTCCAATCACACAAGTTGGGTTACCATCCCTATTTATTGTCAAAGTGACATTAGTCCATTTCCCTCGATGTTTAATAAATTAATCTTTTAACGTCCTAGGGATTCTGTCAAAGGAGTAGCTAATTCCTTCACAAAATTAATGGAGTAATTCCATTCTTCAAACATCATTGCACCACTTTTAAGGATGAATGGATATTCACTATATTATCTCATGTGAGTCGACTCATATTACGTCGTTGTATCCCGGCAATACAACGGATAACTCTCAACAAAATATACATCGATGTGACACTTGTGTTCATCGGATAATTTCACTAATACGTTATATCCTAACGGATAATTCTCAATGAAATATATATCATCATTGTATCATTATAGTGCAATGGATAATTCTCATATATAACATCGTTGTACCTTTCTAGTACAACGGATATTTCTCAATTAAACATATCATCGTTGTATCAATATATCACGACGGATAATCTGAACCATAATTAATGATACCTCTCAAATATATCAATAACTTAAGGTATCCCAACCATCACTTTTGGATTTCATATATTGGCTCAATCTTCAATTCCAGCATTTTAAAATTATCAAATGTCACACACATTTAATTGTAACACACTCACATTTTTATTTATTTATTTATATCAAAGTCATAAGAGAAATTCACATTTTAACATTGAAATGTCAAACTTCTTAACAAGTTTTTCAATATGATGATAGTAAAATACCAACATCCATCCTTGTGACTTTAATACTCAAATTACTTTTATTATATTTATATATCAACTCAATATAGCTGAAATAAGCATATAAAAAATCCCAGCAACAAATAATTACCAATGCACCACTTAATGTATACACATTTTTTTTTTCAAAAAA